GGGGGTCAGGGTTGGCACCGGCACGCGCGGCGCACCCGGGGCCAGCCATACGCCTGGGGCTGGCACCTGCCGCACGCCCGGGGGCGGGGCCAGCCCAGATTGCTCCGCGGACACATGTTAAGGGCCCGGCGGGCGCCATGGCGCCCACGGGCACCGGGTTGGGGACCACGGTCCTAGGCAATATGAGACTACAAATAATGAATAATAGTAATATCCCCTCATCACAACTTTTACATCATTCTGGCTTCCCAGGAGTCTTCCAGCAAAACTGAAGAAGATTGGACTTGACATTTTTAATATTTCTAACTTGAAAATAATACCATTCTTCATCATGAAGAGAGAGGGGAAAAAAGAACAACCCCAAGAAAACATTTTCAATATATATTTTAAGTTGAAATCCAAACCCAATTGAAGTCAAAGGGCGTTTTACCACTGACTTCACTAGGACCCGGATTTCTCTCTTTCCAGTCATCTTCTCCCCTCGGGATGTTTTCCCCCTCTCCCACCCTTTCCCCAAGAACAGTGTTCTTCTTTTCTTCCCTTGTGAAACAGAGTGACGCATGCATAAAAATCCAAACTCTGTCCTATTTTCTAAATTTAATTTAAGAATTGTCTAGCCTTTACAGATACCGACCCATCAGGATCTATATTTACTGATGTCTCTTAGTCACTAGAGCTGTAACTAAGCCAGTCTTGATATAGCTCATCTTTAGTACTGCCTCATCTTACTGAATGTATGGGTTCTACCAAATACAGGCTGAAAGAAGTTATCATTCAAAAAACGTGTTTCCTTAGTTCAGAGGGTTAGATGAGCCCAAGGTCCTGGGAATGATTTCTTAACTGGGGTAAGAGTAAAAGAGATCTGGATTATTCAACTGAGTGTACATTTACCAACATAACTTACTCAAAATTTGGCCTCTCTCACAAAAGAAACTCCCAATAAAAGTTTTAAAAAGTATAGCAATTACCCTATTGCTTTTAGGATTCTGTTAATTTATTATGCATCCTGAAGCTATGGTGGGTGCCAATTTTTTAAAATCAAAAAAGATAAATCTTAATGAACTATTTGTTGTTCTTTCAATCACCACAACAGTAAATATTAAAGAGTCCCCCAAAGCAGAAGCAACTTTTAACAGAAGCCTTGAAGGTCCTAAATAGGGTGGAGTTCAAGCATTCCAGTATCTGTGCAGCATATTTTGCCAAGGAATTATATACATCAAAGTAGTGATGGTGAGTCACCACAAATTACTTTGGAAGAACTACACCCTGTGATTTCTAAGAGATAAAATGGCCTAGAAAATAAATCACAAACTAGAATTGGCAGGGAACAGTGTTTGCTATATGACTTTTCTTAGAAATAAAGTCACTTTCCTTTTCTCACTGATCACTCATAGAACAGATTGAAAAGTACATGACTAAAGTAATCCTCACAGCTCCATGATGAAGTAGTTGGACTTTTCTTCCAGCTGTAATAAAGCTGTGTCTACACAAAACCAGTCTTCTCTTTCTTAAACAGACAATCGGTCAGACTACATCACAGTCTCCTTTGTGCATGGGAGAACTTAATTCAACCAGTTCATAAAGGTTTGAAAACTCAGACATCTTTTTAAGAGGTTAAAAATTATAATTAGTCAACACAATAACGTTCTACCAGCCAATGAATTAGATTGTGTATTGGAATGTAGAAAAATTGTTTTACTAGTGAGGTTTCAAGGATTCTGACTCATACAGATCATGTACTTTGCATAAAATTGATTTATTATAGGTCAAAAGGCAGTATTAAAGCAACCCAGGATACAAGTAACAAATTCTCTTTTCTTTGACATATCAAGGCATTTTAAAGGCACACTGTTGTTCTCCCAGTGTAGAACTTGCTATTTTTCACTGTATATCCTGGCATTTTTCTTGTTTATCTTGAAAGTTTGTTTTTAAAAGAGAATTCTGTTACCAATTTTGATAAGCTCTAGACGTGTGTCAAATGAGCAGAGCTGGGCAGGAATCCATATATCTTATATTCCTGCACTGTTAGCACTCTTCCCAAACATATCTTTTGCTGGGATTTCCCACACAACAAAAGAAAACACTTTGTCGGTCAGTCTGTCTGTCTCTCACACTCTCTCTCAAACACACACAATTGCTGCAGTCTACAAAGGGCCCCTGCATGCATAAACACACACACACAGACGCACACACAGAGCGAATTACTGCAATCTACACAAGGCCCTTGCAGAACCTACAAGCAGTTCTGTTATAACATCCAAGCATTACATAGTCAAGCCATTTTCAAAGTGCATCTTTACATAAAATCAGAAACAATGATTAAGGAACTCATTTCCCAAGATGCAACATTTCAAAGACACATGATCACACATACTCATTTGCTTGCACATAAATGCCACAGAAAAGGATTAATCTAAATCAGTAAGAAAAATGCCATGAGGTATAAACAGCAGCTGTTTTACAAATGCATACAGTATGGTACCTTTTTCATTCACAGTTTCTTCTTTTATTTTCCTCGCTGCTTCCCGGCCTTCATTTTCATCATTTCCAGCTGTCATCATCAAGAAAATGCAAAATTAATAATGCAATCAGTTTAAAAACTGTTGAGTACCCTATCATCCCACAAATATAAGTTAACCACAATGTAAAACGCCAAAACTAGAAAGCAAACAACAAGCTTGAAGTGAAAGAGAATTATTTATTGAAATTACACTAACAGAGGTTTCAAAAAGCACCAGGCAAATACATTGCTATTCACACATGACTGGACTATTTTGTCTCTTCTAGTTATTGCATGAGGCCTGGACAGCCACATGCTGGAGCAGCTGCAGCTAAACTAAATCTGGTGACTCAAGTGAAGCATGTTTCAGAAATAGAGTCTCAAGCAGTCATAAAGCAATCAACCTGGACTCCATAGCATTTCTTTTTCCACAAAGAAAAAAGAATTTATGGGATTTCACTGGGTATTTTGATGGGTACTCACTAAAATATCCAGTCTATCTAACTCAATGTATGGGCACAGTTCTTACTGGCACAAATAGAAAAGTGTAGACCACCAAGATAGAGAAGAAGCTCTGTGTTCATGTCACTGAACTACAGTAGACAATCACAGTTAACAGCTGGATAGTATTCATTGTTTGGCAGTTGCTTGTAACAATGTTGTCTTTGGAACAAAAAAGAATACTATGCTTTATAACAGAGTTTTAATTTTGAAAAAGGTATTTGCAATTCTGGCTATTCATCAACAGATAGAGATTTTCTATAGCACCCACCACCGCAATATCTAAGTTCTTACTAAGTTAGATGCCCATGGAGAGTTCCCTAATGAACATACTAAAGGCTTCTGCCCCCTTCAGTTATATAAGGACAGCCTGCATTTTAATAAACCTGGATGGCAAGGAAGGCTTTATTTTTCTTCTGCATTTTTAGTTATTGTTTAGTAGGAATTTGTTTTGTTTAGTCATCTTCCATTTGTGAGTTCCTTTCTCCTGCTTATGTAGCTTTCATAGAGAAGTTTATTGTGGCATGCCCTTTGGATTAGTCTGACTACCTCTGGGAACTTGTTTCATCCTGTCCTCCCTTGAGAGAGAGCATTTCATTTCTGGGCCCTCATTACACTTCATTCTGGATTTTATAAGCCACGTGGTCCAAGAATAAATGGAGAGATAGGACCAGCACACGGGTGATGTCACTCAGGCCACTGAGATGGTAGTCTTATATATTCTGCAGAAGCTAAAGCCTCAGTATTGCTTCCATGTTTAGTCCTAGGTACAGGGATTACAGTTTTTTGTCTGGAGGTGACAAAAGGATGCAATGGAAGGAGAAGATTCACTTTTTATATGAAAGCAGTTGAAACAGGCAAACTTTGCCATTTAAAAAATGTTAATGGGAAGACAGCTTACCTGTAAACACCAACAAATACACTAGTCTATAATGCTATGTACAGTATCTACTGATAGACCAGCTTTTCAGTTCCTTTTGTATACCTTAGATGATCTACTCCTCCTAACCATTTTGAAACAAACCAAAGAAATACACATTTGCAGTGTTTGGGGTTTTTTCTTCAAAATCCAGCTGGGATTTTATGACATATAAACATTCAGCTTGATCCTAATTTCTGGAAATAGATGCAGTGTCAAAGAACAAACCCTACAGTGAAACTGCCATATCCGTGGAACTTTGCACAGAGCAACTATGGGCAAGGAATCAACTCTCCTCACTCTTTCAGCTTAAGTGATTTCCTACAGTGGGGTTTCAAAAATCAATGTTTCACAGTGCTGGATGCAGCTATGCTAGAAACTGACTTCCGTGGCAAACCCTGTGAGGATCCCATCTGATCCTCTTTTCATTCAGAATGTTATTGCACAATGAATGTACATATTAAAGCCTCCAGTGTCTTGATTTAACTCTCAGTATGTTATTTTAATTTATTTTTCAAAGAATGTGTGTTGCACAATACATTTTAATTCACATTATTTTCATTGCCATATTAATGGTTATTCGTTAAAGTGCAGGACCCTCCAAATGAACTCAGTTTATTCTTATTTGCATATATTAATACCCTGGGACAGAGGAATCATTTTACTAAATAGCTGCTTCAACTCTGTTTTCATATTAGCCTCAGAGGTATTTTGAAAATATGAGTCTAGGAGCTAGGAACATCATAAAATTAAAAATCACCTTTACCAAAGCTGTGTGCTAGAAGCTTTTTAAATGAGTTTTGCTTTAGGGACGAATACACAGACTGGATAAGTGACCAAATCTCTACAAAAAGTACAAAGTAAGGTATTGCAAAGAGATACAATAAGATTGTGAAAATAATCTACATCTCCTGATTATTATTTTTTTAAAGAAATGAGTGATTTCTCGATTAGAGGCAAAGCAACATTTATAATCAAAGTTGATAAACACATTCCATTTTAATCCCCTGTTTTAGTTGCTTATACTGTGACAAACCAACCATTTGGTCGAAAATTTTCCATGCTTGATCTCTGCCTTAGGATGAACTTTGTTTTGAAAATCTGAGCAAACACAACTCAATGAAGACTGAGAGTAGTGAAAATGGGTAATTCTGCCACTAGTAAACACACAATGTAGTTCCTTTTTAACTTGGCTGAGGGATTAGTCGTGGTGCCTCTGTATTTTGTTCACCCCAGTAAAATCTGTTCACTTTTGGCTGGATTATATAAACCAGAGAAAAATAAATATTTCCACATGCTGAGCATGTATTTTTTTAGTGTTCTGAATATCCCAGCTATAATGGGCACATTCCCAGCCCACAGTGACCTATTGTCACCAAACAAAGGGCTAGGCAGGAAGAGGCAGTCCTTTGAAAGAAATACTATTTGGAAGATGCATTGAGATGGAAGCCAGACAATGAATTCTTGTCTTGCTTTTTCCATCGACTACTTTCAATAGTCCACTCACTTATAACCCTCATTATTGAGCAATGTCTCATACTTTTACCTTAACAGACAGTATTTAGGAGTCCTAACTTTCAGACTCCTGCTTTAAACTCTGTACCACACAGTCCCTTTCCAGAGCCGGGAACACAACCCAGTTCCTTGTCTTGTAATGCTGTCTAGCAAATGAGTCTGTAACCCACTAGTAAAGCAGGCTGTGCACATAAAGGAGAACAGCTCTGACTGAGAGCTAATTTTAAAAGGTACAATGTGGTAATACATTGTGATTATTTTTAAAAGTCACCAATCAATATTTAAGAATTATACATATAAATCATCTGTTTTATGTAGGACTCAGACAAAAATACAAAATATGTTGAATCCTCTCACTGCAGACTCTTCAAAGAGGTTACACTCTCAAATCTGAGCTGACTCGTCAGGGATGTTGATACTCAAATAAAGGAAAGATAAAAACATGCAAGCACCATTTGAAATATCTTTACTGAAATGTCTTATAAAATGTAATAAGGATGAAACAAAAAAGGTTTTCTGAATTTTAAAGGGTTCCACATAAATCACAACAAGAAACTATAGACAATAACAGAGTACTTAAATTATTTAAATAGAATGTTTAAAACACCCTGTACAATTTTAGAGAAACATGTATGTCTGTAATAGAATATTATTGATTTTAAAAGTCTAGCTAAAAGTTAATCTGCATTAAAATTCTATATGATTGTATATGTATGAGGGCAAGATGCAATATCAATGTTTATTGTTAGTGTCTATTGTCATTAAAACATCATGTTTATTATTAATTATTATTATCATCAGTATTATTATGGTAGAGTCTAAATGGAAATGTATGACTGGAACCCCATAATAGTAGAAACTATACAGTCTCCTGTTAAACAACTGGCACTGCTCTGAAGAGCTTACAGTCTAAATAACTATGACAAAGAATGGGAACCACAGGCACAGAGAGGCAAAGTGACTTATCCAAGATCAGTGACAGAGCTAAAAATCAAGCTGCCACAAGAAGGATAAAAACCAACAAATGCAAAAGATAAAACTATTCTGAACAAAAGCTAAAAAAAAGACTTAGCAGTCTGTGCTTTGTATTAATGAATAAATAAGCTAGAGGCTGATTCAAATGGACTAAATGTTGAACCTCCCAAGTCTGGCACTCTCTGGTCTGGCATGATTTTCTTTAGTTGGATGTCCACTTATCATGGGTGTGGCCAAATTTCCCTTAGTCCCATAAAGTTTGCTTACAGCCACCAGTCCTGGCTCCCAGCGCCTGTGCTGTTATTTAGCTCTAATTTACCCCTATATGTGTTTTAAGAGCCCAGTAAGCCATAGAAGAGTTGGTATGCTGTTAGACAATATTGACGTCCTGTGGGTCAGCGAATTCTCTCGGTCAGGTCCCAAGGGTGCCAGACTAGAGAGGTTCAACCAACATAATTTTCCAAAGCAATATTTGTCAGTCGCTACAACTATTGAGCCTTTGAGGTAGAAAACTGAGAATTTAAAGCACCCAGCAACAAGGAATTTTTTCAGTAAGTGCCTGATCCTACTTCCATTGCTAGTAATGGTAAAATGCACATGGAACTTCAAAGGGAGCAGCATCTGGCCCTAAATCTATAATGACTATATTTCAGGAGAAATGTGGAAAAACTGGAGATGGTCCAGAGAAGAGCAAGAAAAACAATGAAATGTCTAGAAAACATGACCTATAATGAAAGGCTGAAAGAACTGGGTTGAAGAAGGCTAAGAAGGGATATGACAACAGCTTTTAAGTACCCAAAAGGGTGTTACAAGGAGGAGGGAGAAAAAATGTTCTTCTTAAACTCTGATGACACAGCCCAAAAGCAATGGGCTTAAATTGCACCAAGGGAAGTTTAGGTTAGACATTAGGAAAAACTTCCTAACTATCAATGTGGTTAAACACTGGAATAAATTGCCTAGGGATGTTGTGGAATATTCATCACTGGAGATATTGAAGAGCAGATTAGACAAGCATTTGTCAGAAAAGATCTAGACAGTGCTTGTTCCTGCCATGAGTGCAGGAGACTGGACTTGATGACCTCTCTAGGTTCTTTCCAGTTTTACTCTTCTATTCTATGACTACAGAATGAATCAACATCTA